TAATTGAATATTGATAAACCAGTTCGTGTTTATATTAAAAAAATGTCGCTGTACAAGCTAATTCAGTACATTAAAATTAATATTTTCTCTGAATTTTCAATGTAGATATTTATCAATTATCATAAACGATATAATTTTTTAATGTTTTTAAAAAGTTCGTTCGGTTTTTTTTAATAACTTAGTTAAGTTACTTCCTAAAGTTCCAAACGGAATAAACTTTCCACCGCTGAATTTATAATGTGACGGGTGACCTGTCGGCCCATCCAGATTACATGTAAAAAATATATTAAAGGATTCCGTATGATATACAATATGAAGACAGTTTTATACTCAGCTTTAATTTTATTATGTAAAGAAAATAAATATTTGATGAAGTACACAATTTCATTACATCAAATTGAAGTTTGTTTTATAAAATATATTATACCTCTTTGCTTTACTGTCTTAAAACTAAGCTGTTAATAGTGGTCCAAATCCTCATTCAAATTGCAACAGTAATAGCATTGTTTTATAATTATTTTATTATGTAAATAATATATAGAGGATCTCTGATTGAACAACCGGTTGATACTTGGAGTGGTGTACGGAGCAGTGTATAATTTAGCAATACTTGACGGAATTATTCACAATAGTGCCGGGACTTATCGTTGCAGTTAACATACAATTATCGATGTACGATTCGATGTACTGCACTACTTATGCTATCGATCGATTTTTTTAAACGTAACTGCTTTTAAAAGAGCCATAAAGAGGTATATCGATTTAAACAACTCTCAGCTCCCGTTTTTTTACGTAATTATAGTGGTTTGTTTTGCGATTTTTTTTTGGTGGGACCTTATAAATGCATAATTTTGATATGACTTGATTTTGATTTCGTCACTGCTTTTTTATCAACGTAATAAGTGTTGCACATTTGTATATATATTTTTACAATGAATTTTATTTTTATTTAACAAACATCTGAAACCTTCGTGTTACTGTGAAAAATCTCTAAACAAAACAAAGTGGTTTTTATAGTTTTATTACATATGTTTTTTTATTGTTTTCTGGCATTAAATATTTAAGATGTTTTCATTTTAAACTTTGTATGTTTAAATATATTCTATTTGTTATTGAATTATGAAAAAAAATACAGTTAAAAGTATATATAATTCCCTGGACATGTTTTTTGTATCTTAAAAAGATTAAAAAATATTTTACGAACAAAGAAAGAGGTTTTTATTCTATAAAGGATTTAAATTATTTCGTGTACATCGAATGATTTTCGCACTTTCGTAACTGACATATGGAACAGATATTAATAAAGTTCTAAATAGATTATAGAAATTATTATTTTCATATGTATCGTATGCACAATCTAGGACACTTGTTTTTTTTATTCGCACTCCATATTGTTACACAAATAAAGATATTTAGAAACGTGCATATGTTGCTCTATTTTAGATAATCCACTAAAGATTAAGAAGATATCAATATAATTGTCCAATCAAAAAGGAGAAACTGGTTTACGTAATTATTGTGTGTACCTAGTAGAGTGGGCGCTAGTATTTCAATGCGACCTTGCTTTCCTTTAATTAGCTCCGTTGAGAGCAGGTGATGGATCGGTCACCTGCTCTCAGTTCACCACAGATGTATAGATGCTGGAATAAATTGATTAATGATTGGTTTACAATAATATTCACAGTTTTCAAATCTTTACCTTAAATTTGTTTATAATTCTATAATAAATCTCTATGAACTATCGTTAAAATATAAGTAGAATACTAGTTACAGACACAAACATGTATGATAGTTTTATTTTGTTTATTTGTTATTTTTCTGTGAAAATCGCTATTATGAAGAAAGTTGATACAGATAGCATCGAAGACTTTCTTTAGTGCCCTCATTAAATAAACATCATATTAAATAAAGTGTAGTAGTTCTGAACTTAATTAAATATCTTAATTTTATATCCGTGGCTTATGGCTACATGTCACCGCAATGTGCTCTTAAAATCACGCAACTGACCACAGGCCGCTTACATCTTATCTGTACGTAGCGACCTTTCAAAATATACATAACTTGAATGTTTTATAATTATTTCTCTCTGTAAAGGCCATTATTGAATTAATAAGCTCATTAAACGGGACATTACAATATATTATTTAACATTACTTTCTCTTTCACCGACTCGTAAAGCTTTAAGATATTGTTGGATGTGATGGTTTCAGAGCACCAAATTTTTTTTATCGATTACCACATCGATAATTACCGCTAGTTTTGCATCACTGACAATCTGTAATAGTGCAAATAAAAATCAGAAGCCGACCACAAAAGTCATAATTCTGTGAAAGCGCTGGTCAGTTTTTCAATAAGCAATAAATATCGCAACGCAACGCAACGGTGGCATGCACACGCGCCACTAACAAGGCGCCCGGCTTGTGCCTCGTGTCATCGTTGTGCAACAGCCCCACCCAACTCAGCCATTTCTATGTGAACCTAGTTAAAAGCGGGACGCGTTTCATAGTTTTTATAACATAATAAAAACTTTACGTATTTGTAAATAAATCTAACATTCTACATATGGTATAGCAATTACTCGACTGCCACACATAAAAGCATAATCATCAATAGTGTATCGTAATTCAAGGAATTAACATTCATGAGGATTTGTATATTTATTTTATTAAACCATTACATTAAAATCATTTGCTTAGTCAATTAGTTGGTTTAGTTGTTGGTTACATCTTACACTTAGTTTAATATTTGAATTTACATACAAAAAAAAAATCATTACTTTATTGTTTTATTTTATGTGATATAACAAACTTAAGCGTTACTCATGATTTTTATAGGCATGAATATTTTACGCTCCAAAATCTCATAACTTGGACCACACTATTTAGAAACTATTCCGTTAAAGTATATATCTAACGAAAACCATACTTTGTTGCAAGATATCGACTAGAATGGGGCGGTGCTTACTTAATAATATTTATTGTGTAATTAAACTTAATTTTGTCTTATGACCATTAATTCTCCTATAGTCATCTCGATTGATATACTTATAACTCGTAAATTATTTACTGCCATATTAATTATAGCTTGATATAAGCTAGGTATAGCTTGCTTACTTATATTATAAAGTCTTGTTGTTTTGCATCTAGAGTACTATGTTTTTAATTTTTAATCTAAAAAGGTCTTATTTTTGACATCAAAGCGTTCTTTATAAGATTCTTGCTTAATTTTATAAGGTAAAAAAAAATTATTCCTTATATCTTTACATCTTTTTAAAGGATTTTTTTAGGTCTTTTAAAATAAAATGACACGTCTAAATTTAATGTTATTTATTTTATTTTGACAAGGTAATCGGTGATCTTCAAACGATTAATAAGTATCAAAAGTACAAAATGACAGGTCGTAATCTCTACCTTATACATACTAAGGATAAGTTAAATAGCATCTCTTACTAGTATAACAGATTTGGTACTAGTATACTAAACGGTATGGGAATGGCGAACGTTTTACAAATAAAGGTAACACTGACGCAAATTGAAAACGTGACGTAATGAGTGTCACAAGTGCAAAGTGGCAAATTGTAAACTTGTCGCTTTTAGTATCCCAAGTGTAAATATTGCAAATAGACAAATATACGAGTTTGGTGTCATATACAAATGAAAACAAACCCTATATTTTATTTTTTCGATATATATCATGTCATCTTTTCAATTGTCCACCAATTATTTTGATAACTATACCAAGAATGCAGTACTGCGCAAATATTATGATTATGAATTAAAAGGTACTGTTCGTGTATTTTTTAAATAACATGAAAAGTGTTTGTTTGTTTATGTACTCGTATAATATAAAAGAGAAATCAAAATAGGGGAATATATACCTTTATGTTTTGTTTTAGAATACATGGCAATTCTTGATATAGGTCCAATTATGCTATGTACAAAAACATTAACTTTATATTCGTAACAATAATAGAAATTAGAGATCTATCTATATTTAAAGGAACGTTTACATAAGTTCTTTGAGAGACTTCGTCAATTTAGATACAATAGCAATGACATACAATAATGATCCCAAAAGTGGTCAAGTAATAAATAAAAAAATCACAGTTGTTTCATCTTAATTTAGTTAAAGATTTAGATACAAACATTTGATATTTTTACAAGCTCTTAATATGGTAAATAATTTTTCTTTTAAATCTCAAAAAAAACACAAAATAATTACATATATTTATAATTTGTTTTAATATATTTAAACTTAACAACCAGGGCATCACGAAGTCGCAGGAGTTAGAATAATAATTACTCTGTGGTTTAGCCCTAAAACTAAATAATTTATGCAACACAATGATCTAATCAATTTTAAACAAATCTTCTAACATTTCGTAAAATTATATCATCAATAAGCAACAAGTTATATGTTTATTGGTAACCGGCGTTTCCTCTCAGACTAAAACACTAATATACAACATCGATAAAAGAAGCAAAAATTTACAAATAATACAAAATTACTTACATCCATCTAACATTTAATTAAAACTAAAATAGAGAACACTGAACACTTACATTACATATAACTATTAACGTCATTTATGCACAATGATTACAAAATAATACCTATTTCGTATAGCTTCATCGGTAGTAAAAATTCGGTACACGGTTTAACTAACTAAGCTACTTTGAACCATTACTTCATATTTACAAATAGTTTACATATCACTTTTATATAACCTTACAGTCGACACGTTTTTCATACAAAAGATGCCATATAAATAAAAAAATAACATAATTATATTCACTGTTTATGAGTAAATAAGTAATAACTTTTCAAGTAAATCTTCTAGTTAGGAATGTTAATGATTAAAATGTTTTTTTTTTAAGTAATGGCAATTCAGATCAAGCGGGCGTCTGCCTGCCATGATTGATGGTTTTAATTATAGTATACACAGTAGTCATTTGGATGCATCGACCAGATTATGATACAAGGAAATGTAGAGTTCACTATCAGGTGTGGTCTGCGATACTCGCGGCGGCGGCAGTCCGTCTTGCTGGCGCCACACGTCCCATGAACGACCTTATTTCTTCAAAGTACGTCTCTTCTGGTGATCTGCGACGGTTATCGTCCCCGTTCTCGGCTTCGTGCTTTTTGAGATGCCTATCCAGGTTTGTCTGCTGGCCGAAACAACGGTCGCAGTGACGACATCGAAACGGCCGTTCCTTATTGTGAATGTTCCTCACGTGTCTCTGCAGGTTCGATGATATTGAGAATGATCGTTCACAATATTTGCAGCGATAAGGCTGTTCGCCTGTATGTGTCCGTAAATGTCTCGTCAGATTAGCACTTCGCGGGAACGCCTTTCCACAATAGGAGCACGTGTACCTATCCCGTGCTCTATTCACTCCGGCGTTTTGGGGAACGGGAGGAGCTCTGGGCGCCCCCGGCGCTAGGAGGGTCGCAGCTGCTGCGGGTAAAAAGGGGTAACGGCCGAAAGACGCCGGCAGAGCCAGGGGTAAACGTCGGCAGAACTGAAGCAGAGCTGGATGCGCTGGGTGTGCTGGGTGCGTAGGGTGAGGTGGCGGTGAGGGAATGAGATTACAGTTCTCATCCTCCAGCCGTTGCGGTCGCTTGTGTGTGACTCTGAGGTCGAGGGGCTCGTCAGGGCGAGGTGAGCCGAGGGGGCTGGGGTGTCGCTGGAGGGGCGAGGTCGGCGGGGAGGCGAGGCGGCGCGGCGCCGCGTGCTTTTCGCGCATGGCGGCCGCCGCGCACGAACTCATCAGGCTCGTGCGCCACCGACCTGAAACAATCAATAACAAACATTATTAAATGATTTAAGAATTATAACTTGATAACATTTCAAACGTATTTCTTTTTTATTTCAGATGTAGACTCTTTACAAGCGACATAATATATATAAAAGAAATTGCTTCGTTTTATTTTTAATGTTTTTTTATTTTTATGATTTTTTTAAAAATATGAGTTGTTCCATGGTTCTGTCTATGTTTGTTCAATTGTCCAAAGAGAAAGTCAATATGTAATGAGAGTTTATGGCTCTGAGCTTCTTAAAACTGATTTACGGAACCAGCTTGCTATAGCACGATTTATATTCAAATACATTTAAAATAACAGTGCGCAGTTAAAATATAAGTACGCTGTTATGCTAAACGAGCGTAGTTGCGAAATGACGCGACCAGTACGGGGTGATCCGATCGACGGCAGGCAGCTTCTCCTACGCTCGCCTTCGTACGCCCACAGACTTGCGACATCAATAAATAGAGCAACCAACGAAACTACCATTTTTAATTAATTTTTTAAACTTTATTGGGTGCTTTACGATGAGATAAGTATACGTTGCTAACGAACGAGTTTGCCAACATTTTAATATATTTATAGAATCAGTACGATATCGATCTTAATAGAGCATGAAGTATAACTTATACATTATTATACTTAATTGTTTTTATTAAGAAGTTTGTTTTCAAATAAGACATACATATTGCTATTAATATTTTATTATCATGTAAATTGGTATTCATTATACGTTAGAAAATATAATTGTTATATATTAAATATAATACGGCATGGTGAATTTTATGCGTCTTTTGTAATGAAAAACTAGTCTAGTTTTATGTGTATCCGTTATTGTCCCTTTCACTGATCCAGTTGCAGTGACCACAATATTACAGATGTGAAAAGCGACAGTGGATACTACGAACAACTGGTGGTAACTACACAATATTAATAAATAAATATACCATCATATGTCAAGAGATTGGCGACATTTGTGTTCATAGATTTGCATATATCATGCACGTGTTATTTATAATGTCTCGTACATAATTCCTGCTCCGTATCTTCTATTAATATAATCATAAGTGTATGTAATAATTCTGGTTTATTAATATGCAATTGATATTTGCATGTTGTTATATCATGTATTTCTAGACGAAATAACCTAAGGACCACAGCAAAATTTGTAAGCTCACGCCTACGACTGGACACGCCGCTAATTTGTGCTAAAGGCAGACGACATAAATCCTTTAAGCAACAGTCAGACATCGACGTCTCTGATACCTTATTTAGATAGCTCGTGAGTCCGGTGCCGCTTGCTTATGATTTGTAACTAAAGTTCCTCGTGATGCTGTTCAGCCGCGGGACAAATGAAAATAATTGCGAATTAAGAAACCATCGGGTCAACCGCAAGTATCGGTTAGTTTTCGATTTCGTATCAACGATTTCCAATGTATACATTCGTTTCATGAATGGCAGACGATTAAGTCAGCGTAGTTAAATAGTACAAAGGTACATTGATACGGTAACGACTAATTGCCCATGACAATTAGCACATTCATACAGCATTCGGCGTATTTGTGTGGGTTAGAGCTGGTAAGGATAGCTAATTACTTGTAATCAACGTTCGGAAGCACGGTGACGTATTGCGTGGTAGGCGGAGCGTTCACGTTTATATATGTTAATGTAAATAGCGTGGCCAATGAGCGGCATCTCGCCGCACCAGCTCGTAATACATTACCATTTGAATCGTTTATTAGTATTAACACTGACTGACTCTTGACTTTTGTGGGCTTCACGCATCTCTAATAGGCACGTCGAATCGTCCCACCGTTCAGCTATATGCTAGTAAATTGAATAAATCATTTTATTCTATGCGTGAGGTAAAATTATTTATTGGTGTCACTCATAGAGCACGATAACTCATGTTGTAGTAATTCATTTGTATTTAACAGCTGATGTTAGAATTGATTTTATGTCTAAATAAACTGCAGATAGTTTTTCTTTTAAGATGTTATTCATTTTATCTTATCTTCTTAATATTACATATGTATTAAGATCTCTATAAGTTCATAGCAATAGGCAGATATAGCCGCACGACAAATTCCAGTTGCGGCGTGGGGTCAAAGCCGGTAGACCTTACTTTAATCCACTTCATAAATCTATCATCACTGGCAACTACATTATAAGCGATTGCTGGGCATATTTACTGTACGCTCATCAATCACGATAACTCTATCAACGTACGTGATACCTAGATCGTTTTAAATATAATAAATGTACACAAAATTAGCATTAGCGTGAATACAATAGAGCATGTATTCGCGTGTACCGTTAATTGCATGTTAATGATTTAGGCTCCTTCTGATGTTAACTGCCAATGATACGCGTTTTGCTTGGTCGGCAGCGCGTAACGTATGGGTGGCGCATCGCTGTTCAGATAATTTAATGCAACCACAACATAGATAGGTATAATTATATAAAAAATCTCATAATTTGTATGAAAATATTCGCAACAAAAACATACTCCTCGAAATGGTGAATTAAAAGTACATTAAACCGTATGGGGTTAGAAAAAAAAGACAAGTAAAATATTAGTTAATATTAAAAGGCAACAAATTAGCTGTAATTGGCAATAAATTCGTTCAGATATCCCTATAAGGATATAGTACCGTTAGAGTTATGGATTTATTGATAACATAACATATCCGTTCCTAATCCTCGGTTTCGGTTTGATAGTCAAGTTGAAACGTATCGAGCAATGGCTAGATCGAATACTCCACATATTCTCACATAAGATCGGGGACAGAGCAGATTCACATACATTGCTAGTTTTTTGTTAAACATCATTTGATATAATTCATATAACTATTTTAGGAAACGCGTCGCGCCAATCACCTTATGGCGACTTATGAAATGCTGACGTGTGAACTATAAGAGAGAAAAAATATTAGTATCGACTTGTATAAGGATATAGAATACATGTTGTATAAAATTGTACTGTGAATGGAGATGTAAAAAATGTTAAGTGGATGATCCTATGGATGGACATTGAATAGTTACATGAGTTATATTATCAATATATTTATAACCTTTTCTAACTAAACATATATTAATATTATATTATATACTATATGTCCCGAAAAATTCGTTACTATATTTAAAACTATAAAGATAAACTTAGTTAAAATACATATAGGGATACATGCATAAGTTGAATAAGCTCTTCGTAAAGCGACCAATCCCCAAGTGTATAACCACGCAGGCGCGCTACGATATTGAAAATAAATATCTCATGTGGGAATGAGAGCGGCAAACCGTGAGAAATTTTAATTTTACTTTTTTGTGTCCTTATTGGCCCACTGTATGTTTCACATTAATACTCAGACTTAGCTGTGCTATCTGCTATGGCTATTGCGAAATAATCGATGTAAGTCAGTTGCAGAATCGATTTCAATTGTATATTTTTTTATTCAAACCTTTACAAAGCGTAATAAATTAATTACATTCAAATATAGAAAGTATTTAAGCGATTAATATTTATATAAGGTGTTTAAAAGAGAAACTTCTCTTTAGTTTCCGAGTAATGGTCGTTTTAACAGAGTTACGATCACCTCTGATCTAATTACCAACATCTAATAAAACGTTAGCACGCGCCAAATCGCGCACAGCCTGACACGTACCATAATACAGTTTCACTAGCTATCGTTACTAATTTAATCTATTTATTAATGTAATTTAAATTCAAAATTCCTTAACAAATTCAACTCTAACTATGCGAAGACATAAAATCATAATCTAATTGCATAGATATGTTATATTATATATTAATTAACGTGCATAAAAAAACACGCATTGGGTGCGTGGCTGCTACAACCGCCATCTATTTGTAAATTGCAACAATGTACGTTATTATTTATTAAATCTAACGACCGTTTTATGCGAATACTTCCATTTGAAAAAAATGTTATGCAAGAAAATGTAATAAGGAAATTTAAATTTTTGTTTACCTTCAACTATTTATAGAAAACAAAGAGCATGAACCTGGTTTGTAGTAAAAAATGTTGGAAGCAAAATGCTTGAAATCTAAACTAAAATTTATATTATGTAGCTGAAATAAATATAAATACTAACGATGGAAGTTCTTATCTAGTAATAATGTATTTTAATTATTTATTCAATGCATAATGACCACAAAATTGTATACAGTTGGTAGATAGAGCTTGTCTCGTAAATTATAGCTGTAGGAATGAGGCAGGAACAGAATTTGCATTGGTGATTCGGCTCTTAGGAGTCCGGTATTAAGATGATATATGGGACTCTGATTACGCATCTGGGGTTGTTTAGGAAATGACTAGAAGTAAAGCTTTTTTTTATAACCATCATCTTATATTTTCTTTTCTTAACTGTATTTTTGGTAAATTTTATATTTGTTTATTTATAAAAATAAAGAAACATAGCAAATATACTTTTATTTAAATGTGCACTACTAATGAAGAGTTTAAAATAACTGGTTCATCATAAATCCTGTTTTTAAGATGTACAATGTCCTCATAAATGAAATTAATGACAAAAGTTAAAACCTAGTCACGACTGCTGAAGCAAACAAGTCAATTCCTGTTTACCAGCCATTAAAATTTCAGTTATATAACATATTTTATTTCGGGTATATCAAATGTAGACAGCCTTCTTATTAATTACAAAACAATGTTATACGAACAAAGGCGATAAGTGACAGTACTTATGCTGTAATCTAAGCGAAATGCCGGCACGAAGTCTCAGAACGTAGGTGGCCGTGCCTTTATCAAAACCCGTTGCATTTTATTTGACGCACCCTTAATAAATTACACAAACAGAAACAATTGTATGTAGACTCCTATGTTTTCGTTTATTTTATTATAGCTAACGTAATTAGTACTTATCTATAAAATATATATGATCAAAATATACCTCATTATAACTTGTCATAGTAACCGGTTCATGTATTGAATCGTAATACGAACGAGTTTAATAACTATTAATAATGAAAGTAGAGAATCACAAAATTAATCTTTATTAAAAATAAGATAGGACAATATTCATAAATCTTATTAGTTTTTAAACATAATGTATTGATTTTTAAGATCGTAAATTATTTCAAATCGACCTGATTATTTACGGTTGCACTTATATAATGAAATATGACATAACTATTATTGATTATAATTAATATATTTTTCATAATAAATAGAAATCAATTGATTTATAGAATTTTTAAGTAGTTAAAAATATTATAAATATAATACATGAAAGCTTTTAAAAACTGGAATGTAGATCAAACGTGTTGCAAGTTGAAATCAATGCCAAATCCAGATATAATAATACATATTGGAATAAATTATACTAATTAAGAAATCTCTATATATTGAACGTATCGTTGCGAGGTAATTGCTATGGCGACCGGATGTGACGGTGTCACGGATTATCACGTCAATGGACCAAACGCTGTACGGTGTAATAAATTTACACCTACAAATTTATGCACGCGAAAATAGACCTTCACTTCATAGGCTGTTATACGATAATTGCTTGTAATTTGTTTGATATAACACGATATTAATCAAATCAAATTATTCATCAAACACATGTGACAAGTGAAAGCGAAATCCGTCTTGTTGTCGTCTATTTTTTTTAAAGGAATATTAAATTAATTTTTTTTCTCAAGGTGACAAGTCAAGATGTATGAAATTCCTGAACGCTACTCATATTATATGAGATGGGGGTCAATAATTTTGAAAACTGACTTTCATAATAACATCGTCACAAAACTTACATTAAATCTTTCACACGAATGCATGTAATTGGAATCATTCCTAAAGCGGCGCAATTAAAAGTCTTATGCTGTTTTTTTGTTAAATTAATTATTGGTTATGAGCATTAATAGCTCCAACTTTTTGTTGGTTTGTTGAAGAACTACTTATACCGCTTAGAGAATATTATTACAGCCATAAATCAAGTGTCCATCAATAAAACGTTTAATATGCGCGTGCGCATCCAGCTACTATGAATTGAAATATGTGTTTGTGTTGTACTAAGACGGTAAAAAAAATGGTTGGATACATAACTATAAACATTTATTTACTTTTTCTCACTGACTATTAACTGTAACTATTTTATTAGTAAAGACTTAAAATTTTGTACGCGTGTTGTAAAGGGTGAAGTCCTGAGTATTTTGTTTAGTCAAAAGTCACCTTCTAAGGATATTTAAGACATCTTTATCAAAAAATATA